CCTTGCTGGCCCTCTCCCCAGCTTGGTCCTTCCTGGGAGCATAGAGTTCCTTGGGTCTGTCTGAAGCCTTCTTCTCTTCCCACTATACACCTGGGCTTAGATTTCACCCATATATTTTTGTTTGAGGATCTAGTGCTGCATAACAAATTATTCCAAATTTAATGGCTAAAAACAATGACCATTTTATAATTTCCCATGGTCCTCTGGGTCGATGGGGGTCATTGCTGGACAGTTCTGCTGTCTGACTTGGGTGTCCCATGTGGCTGCAATCAGAAGGTGTCTGGAGCTGGAATGTCCAAGATGGCTGGCTCACCCATCTTGCACCCTGGGGGAACAGCTGGAATACTCTTTCTCTCCATGTCAGTGCCTCTCCCTCCAGGTGACCTGTACAGCAGCGTAGCTGATTTCTCACATGGGAGTTTAAGGGTCTCCAAAACACAAGTGTGGAAGCTGCTAGGTCTTCTTAAGACTTACTTCTGGACCTAGTATAGCCTCACTTCTACTTCATTAAAGGGAGTCACAGGCCAGCCCAAAATCCATGAATATGAGGAGTCCTGGGTCTTTGTGATGCAGAGCAGGGCAGATTTCCCCCAGTTGAGGGGAGACCAAGCTCTGCATTGAGAGAGAAGAGGCTTCTTGGTGGAGAGAGTAAAAAAAGAATTCAAACACCTGCCAAAGTTAGAGTTAAAAGGAATGTTTATTAAAGAAGGGGAAAAGCAAAGACTAGGGACAGCAAAGGCAAAAGCCAAGACAAGGAAAAAAGCCCAGAGTGTGTGTGTGGGGGGGATCCAGTTTCTATTTCATTCTTTAGTTCCTGTGAGTTACAGTTTAAAGACTTTGTTTACCCATTTTCCTTTGATATGGACATACAGAGAGGACGGGTAAGAGTATGGAGGTGAAAAGGTAAGAATATGTAGCGTGAAAGGCCCTGCTGGCAGTTCCCAAGCTTTAATCCATAGGCTCCCTATGGTTTTAGCCATAGGGAATGAATAATTTTATTTTGTGTAAGGTGCCACTTAAAGACTTTGCTTTTCCTGTTTTCCCTTCAGGGTGTGGGGAAATGGGTTGTTAGCACTACCAGCAGAAATCTTCCTTCGTTCCAGCAGGTTTCTTCCTGGTCAGCATATTGCAGTCTCTGAATACTGCTTCATTTAACATTTTAGTTCTTTTGCCTCTTCCCTACATTATTTGGGCTCTTTGGAGGCTGGCTACCACGGTTAATGAGTCCCAAATTGCTAGGATTGCTTTTCTAAGTTCCAGACCCAACATCCACTGGCCTACTGGACCTCTCTTCTCTAATCCCCCAGCTTCCTGCCCTGCTCCAGCCCTTTCTCTTCCTTCTTGACTCTCTCCAGCTAAATGTTGGCATCACCTGAGCGTAGGAATTCAAGCTAGAAACTTGGAAATCATCTATGGCTCCTCCTCTTTGCAAGTGTGTACACAGTTCACTTGCATTCCATTTAGTCTTATCTCCATTTTGCAGATGAGGAGCCTGAGGCTAGTGGAGGTTGAATAATCTGCCCAAAGTCTCTCTCTTAGTGGTGGGCGGAACTAAGATCCGAGGCCTTGGGTTCTGCAAACAGGGAGACCCGCCTCCAAAGCTTTTGTGTCCAGTCAGTGTCCAGCTGCCACTCAGTGCAGGCAACCATCATTTCTCACTTAAATGTCCACAGCAGCATCCTAACTGCTATTCTCGCCTCCAACCTGACCCCATTTAATCCATCCCCCATGCTTTAGTCGGAGGGATCTTTCTAGAAAGCAAAGTGGGTTTTGGCACTTCTCAGCTTAAACTTGTCAATGGTTTTCCTCTTGCCCTCAAGAAAATATTTAACTTTTCACAATAGATAATAACGCCCTTTACAAATTGGCCCCTGTTAACTTAACAGTGTATAGTATAGGGCAGTGGTTCACCATGGGGGAATTTTGGAAATTTGTGGAGATCTTTCTGTTTGTCACAATGATAAAGACATACTATTAACATTTGGTGGCTAAGCGTCCGGAATGCTAGAGTGCTCCAATGTGAGGGACAGATTCACACAACCAAGAATTATCCTGGGTTCCACATGGCTTTAAATATCCTACTAGACATTCCATGCAAAAAAATCGATTATCACTTGAGTCTAGAATCTATCTCCATTAGCTTTATACCCAAGGGAGGAGAGCACAGGTTCATTTCTGGTACACCCTTGCCATGAGGATGTAGTCCTTTGGGGTCTCATCTTATGATGGGAGACTCTCCTCTTAAGCTCTCCTGTTAAGGAGGTTCTGGGGTGGTTTCTTTCCCGTGAGACACTGATGAAAGCTCAGGTTCACCTAGCAGGCAAGTGTCCCCAGAGCAAAAATCTGCTTCAGTGTTCCACCTACCTTTGTGTGTGTCCCCTACCTTCACTTACTTTGTTTTGCCCTGAAAATTCCTTACTTTTTCATCAAGGAATTTAAGATTTTAAAATATTATGATCAGGATTTTTAGCTGTTTTTAGGGAATTCTCTAAGATACTTAGCTAATCATATTATCAGAAAAGGGAATTGCAAAAATGAAATATTTTTGTACGTAGTTAATATAATGTCTTTTATAAAAATATAACTACTGTGTTGTTTTGTGTTATTCAAAACTTTAATAAGAGTTGTCCACCATTTTGGAAAATCACATCATAAATGACAATGCCCTTAGGTCAGTCTGCACTTGTCCCTGTCACATTCTTAGTGGTTCTAGGGATGAATGTACGCATCTATTATCTTCCAGTGTAGAGATGCCTGAGCATTGGCATATTGAAATGCCTTCCTCTTATTTGTCTTATGTTCAGCACATTATACTGATTTGTTTTTTGAAATCAGATGTTATATTATTTGTTGATTTCTCTTTGGGATAGTAAAGCTGAGTTACAACATTGTTGTTATAATAAAGGGACATTGGGTCTGGTAGGGTGCAGGGTCATTTTGTACACAGAGACTCTGGAAATGGTTCTGCTACTTTGTCGGTATGTGATTTTCAGCAATATGATGAACCTTGTTGTGTCTCAGTTTGTTCCTCTGTAAAATGGAGTGAAGATTAAATGAGTTATGACATATGAAGTTATGACAATGCCTGGCACATGGTAAGTGCTAATGAATGTTAGATGTTATGATTACTTCAACCTAATTTCTTTCCTCTCCTATAGTTCTAGCTTTAACCACATCAAATGCTTTGTTTTAAGAATGTGCTATGATTCTCGTTTTGCACATACTCTCCTTTTGCCTTGAAATAATTTTCCTATTTTCTGCCCCTGGCCAACTCCTATTTACCTATCAGCCCTCACTAGGTGTTACTTTCTTTATGAAGCCCACACTTACCACCCCAAGTCTGGGTGAGATGCCTCTGTATACCACCCCAATGGCTGGCTACCATTATCACAGTGTGATGTTATAGAGAATGGGGGCTTACATTAGTTACAGTGGGCAGGGAATGCCCTCTGAGGAGGAGACATTTGAGCTAAAAGGAGGAAAAAGCAGAGTACAGCTGCTAATACAAAGGCCATGAGGGACCACTTGGTGTGTTGCAGTGATAGAAAGCAGGTCTGCACAGTGAATAGTGAGCAAGAAGGAGACAAAATAAAAATGAGGTTGAAGAGCTGGGAGTTTAGATCCACCATCTCCTTGGCCCAATTGCCCCACCTTCAGGCACGCAGGACCACATACCAGAACAACTTTACCTTTGTACCCACTGATTCCAATGTCTGGAATGTGTTCCTTGCCTTCTCTGATTAATAATAAAATTCTACTCATCCTTCAAAGCTGAGTTTAAAACTATTTATGAAACCTTCTCCCATTCCTTAGCAGGAATTAATCACTCCCTTGCCTGATGTCCCAGAGTCCATATGCTTTCATGGCACTCATCACATGCCGACTGATATCTCAGCTAGCTATTTACATGCCAATCTGCCTACCACACAGTGAGTTCCCTGAGGGCAGAGGCTCTTAGTCACCTCTGCAGCCATCTCCTGGTGTCTAGCCCACAGCAGGTACTCAATGAATGCTGTGACATTTACTTGACTAGTGGGTGGTGCTCAGCACTACTCATGGCAGAACAGAAGGAAAACAAAAATAATAACAACTTTTGGCTTATCATATGCTTTCCCATTCATTACCTGATTGAGACTTCCAACAATTCTATGAAACAGTCGGGACCGGCACTATTAGCTCCATTTTACAGATTGGGTAGCTGAGGCCCAAGAGCACACAGATAGTGAGAACCAAAAGCAAAGAGGGATGATGGAGAGACCCAAAGAGCATTTTGAGGATATACGGCAATGGGGTTGGCTGCAATGAAAAGGCACTTTTGTGGGTAATCTAGGGAGAGATCCTTAGTCAGCTGGGACGGAGTTAATAGCAGCCCCACCAGGGATGGGTGATTCCTCTCACTGACCCAAGCAACTGAGAGTCCGCAGCACCATTCTCCAGCCTTGGAATCTGGGAAACCTCCGACCCTGGAAAGAGGATACGGGTGCTCCCGGAGCGCGGGGCAGATGGCTAAAATGATGTTAACGAAGATTTGTTAAGAGGGAGGGGCCTGCCTCTCGGTTGCTATGACAACCGGTGCTTGACTACTGGGCCCTTGCAAAGTTGACAGAGGCGGGTTCTTCGTTAACTCGAAATAGGGGAAGGGGTGGGCACTTTTTTGAATAAAGACGAAAAAGGTATGTTCAAGACCTTGTTTAGCTCAGTAATTCTCCACCTCAGCAATATTAGAATCACCTGCTCAGTTTTAAATGTCTTGATGCCGAGGCCGTGCCTAAACCAATTAAGTCAGAATTTCTGGGAGTGGAACTCGGGCACCACTATTTAAACTTTCTCAGGTGATTACAATTGCAGCCAAAGTTGCAAACCCCGCGCTTAGCTGGTAGGTGTGATTCTTGCGACCTTCCCAAGATGGTGGCTACCAGACCGCTTCCGCCTTCACGTGCGCCGGTAGGGGCGGGCTTTCCAGAGGCGCATGCGTGTAACGTCTCTTTGCTCCCTGCTCCCTGCTCCTTTTCCCCCCCGCCTCCATTTTGTTCGCGGACGCTGGGGACGGTGGGAGCAGATCCATTTCCGGGTTGGCAAAAGGGGCGGTGGTGGCGAGAAAAGGAGCTTGCCGGGTGGGGGCCGAGCAGGACTGGACCAAGCTGGAGCAGACGTGGCGGAGGATTCGCTCCCGGAGCCGCTGCGGCCAGGTCAGAAAGAGACCAGGGAGGCTGGGTCCGTCGCTAAGATGACCTGCGGACCTGAGTGGGAGGGAGAACCGAGGGAGGGGGGACTGGGGCGGGGCTTGAGGAGAGAAGGGGACATTGGAGGAGGGGCCTCCAGGAGAGAGGGGCCCTTGGGGCGGGGCTTGAGGGGATGGGGGAAACTGGGTCTGGGGCTGAAGAACCTGGAGGAGAGGGGGCGTGGGAAACCCAAGTAGGGAGGAGTGGTCGGGAATCGGTGTGGGGCGATCGCTGACTGAAAATGGGGAGGAAGGTTATTGAGAGACAGGAAGTAAGGGATCCTGAAGGATTGGGTAAGGTGAGTAAGACGGTAACTCAGTGTGAGAGGAACGAGGTAACCGTGCGCAAAAAGGAGGTGGGGAGGGAGGACCTGTTGGGAACAGGTAATTAACAGGATGCTCCGGATGAAGAGGCCAATGTGACATTTTGGGGATTGAGTGGAGTGAAAATCAGTGGTTGAGAGGATGATTAGGGAAACTGCTCACACTAGAGGGAATCTTAAGAGCTGGGAATCAGAATTATTCCCAGGAATCAGAATTAAGGAATAGATTGAGAAATGCTGAGATGCGCATGGCCACAACCTAGAGTTGAGGGTTCAGATTGGAGGGATGTGAAGTGAGGGAAGGTAGAAATCTTAGAGTGCTAACAGTGGGCAGTGTGTATTGTTGAGTTACTGGTCAGGAAGGTAAATTCTTAAGTGATAACACTGGGATGAGGAACTGAACGAACTGGTGTTTACTGGAAATCATATTTTAAAGAGATTTGAATCATCTGTTACTTCTTTGGATTCCTTGAGGATCCACTTCCTTTTTCATGCTGTTATTTTTGCCTTACACTTTCTGAATGACTTACTGAAGGTTTTGGTGACTTTTTTCCTCCCTTTACAAACCACAATAGAACCTCACTCAGGGAATAAAGACTGCTCTAGCCCACCTATGGATTTACTAAGTAACTTTGAGGGAAATTGTTAAACTGTCTTGTTTTTTTCCCTTTTGAAATACAGGTTTGGTCCCTCACAGCCTCTAAAAGATTGTGTTAACCAAGTGGCATCCTTAAAGTGGTTACAAAGAAGTGATCTCTGAAAACATGATTGAGATATTGATATTTAAAAGACGTGTCTTTCTCAGTTTCTTCTCAGCCTTGCTGCATTTTCTGTGCTAGGGAAGAGTTGGTTTTGATTTGATACATGTCCCGTTTTTTAACTTTTCTCAACCAACTTTCAGTAGCCAAAAATTTCCTATTATTGCGTTACATTGTATTGGCTGCCACAGAGATAAGGATAGGGAACTTAGAGGTGAATGAGGTCTGTTGATGGAGAACGCACTCTGGCAAACAGTATTTTACCCTTTAAAAAAATATTTCAACTGCTTTGCTCTTGACGCTGACTTTCCTCATGAACTCTTTGAAAATTCACTGAAAAATATACAGTCGAACATTTTGCATTGGTCCAGTCACTTTTGCCATGTTGCCAGTTGGTGGGGACTAGTGTGCTTGTGGACAACTTAACTTCTTTATTGTTAATCCTTTTAAATATTGACTTTTCCTTTGGGTACAATACCCTACCTACTTTGCCCGTAGGTGAACTTGTTTAGCTTAGAAGTGTTCCTGAAAGTCTTGGCATTTCTGAAGTCTGACGTGGATTTGCTTAAGAGGGGGCAGTTTCAAATTCTACCTCACACTTGATATCAGAGTAGTGTTTACCTTAGTAGTGTTTAGTTATGTGATGTCAGCACAAAGGTGAAATGCAGGAGAAGGAGGAAAGTATTGAGAACAATGGAGTTTTCAAGTTTTACTTTTAAGGGAAGAGAGGAGTCCTATTCCTATTGAAGAGAAAATTGTCAGATGTTCTTTCTTGACGTCTTAGGCTCTTTGATCGGGAGAGTAACCAGGTGTACTTGAGTCTATTTTCCTATTGCTTTTGAAGTAATTCTCAAAACCATGGTCTGCTGATTCAGGCTGTTTCAACAAATCATAGTCTTCATACAAACCACAGGAAGAGTTGCAGGCTGTGAAGTATGTACACTTTTTGGGGGGTGAAAACCTGCTTAATATTTTGCTGTCATTTCAACCTCCAGTGTGTCTTTTTAGTTTGTTTTTAAGAAGGTTTTGAAATAAATTATGGAGGCTCAGAGCTTTGGGAAGGCTTTTGGTGTAGCCTGCTTGTTTTACATGATTTTCCATTTTTTCTTATTCTATTATGTTTTTCCATTGCTCTACTTGAGCCAGTCCTAAGTGGAAATGGCAAATTACATTTTTTTTCTTCCTGTTTGGTCTCTGGTGGACATCTTGTCTATGTCACAGTTTGATACCACCAAGTTGAAAGGATTCTTGACTACTTCAAATGGGGGCAGTGACAGAAGCTGAACTGGGTTCCCTGGGCCAGAGAATGGATTCTGTCAAAGCAAAGAATAGTCGCAGAAACATAAACCGGGACCTCGAAGCTGTGACTAACATTTTGGCAACATGCTTCCCTTTGCCAAATAACTTCTTTTCTTCTTGAGTGTGGTTGTTGATCTCCTTCTCAAAGTAGGCTCTTGTTGCTGCTGTTCTTCACACAACTCTCGAGCAGAAGTTGGCAGAATTCCGGTTGACTGTCTCTTGGGGATATGCTTCGGATTATAGTAGATGGGGCATTACCATGTCAAAATGAGGTTCAATGGCAGATCCTGAGAACTGCTCTGCAAGCAAATACAGGCAGTACTCTTTACTGAATGTTTTTGCACTCCTTTATGTTTCTTCTAAATTCAGATCTGTTTCTTATTCATCTGGTGATTAAATGCAGAGTCATTGCCTTTGTCTAGCTTTGAAAATCCAGGGCATTGAGGGAGAGAGAAAATTTCTGATATTCTTCCCCGCCCCCCGCCTCCCCCAAGCCTTTGAGCTTGGAAAGTCACAGGATAAACGCACAGGCACTTTTTGGTATATTATAGAAGCCTAGTTAAAGTGTGGATTAGAACTTCATGGAGAAAAACACTGTTAGTAGGGGGAAAAGGTGATATGCTTGCTAATGCCTGTGTCAATCTTAGATATCTTAAGATTTTGGCTTAATATTCGGAAAGAGCCTGTGGAAGCAAATGAGTTATCAAATAGGGGAGCCAGGAATAGGCTTCTAACTTGCTATTTGGGCTTGGCAAAGATAACTAGAATGGTTGTACTAGAACTTAGTTCTACTTAGTTAATGCCTTTTTCTGTGTGTTCTACTTAGTAAATACTCTTTTGTTTTTCAGGGAATAATTAGTTGAAGATAACTGTGTCTCCGATAGGTGTTGGGATGGATTATGAAGATCATTTCTTGCAGTATATGACAGTGGCCCTTGTAACATTGGAGACCCCAAGACAAATCCTCTCGTTGGTGGCCCTGGATTCGGCTTTCTTCTGCCATCATTAGTCCAGCGTATTCTGTTCCTGATATGCAGGTTTGGGAAACTAACAGGTTCAGATTCAAAGGTTTTAATTCTGGTCCAGGGTATTGGTAACAAATATGATTATTGGAGTTGTGTTTAATCAAGTCTCAGATCTTTCTTTACTGAAAGAGTGCCTTGAAGTTTGGCATATCTGTATTTCTAAGGAATGTGTGTAGCTTTCCTCTTCATTCTTATAATTAATTGGTTTTCAAAAGAATTTTAGTTTCTTAAACTCTTTGGATTCAAATTAAGCTCCATTTGGATTTCGAGAACCCTCAGTGAAAGTAATTTTTTAGTCAGTATTTATGGTATTTTTTCAGTACAAATTCATCAACCTACTTTCTGTGTTTATAGAAATGCTGAATCCAGTAATCTCTCCCTTTTTTTCCTCCCAATAATCTCTTCTGATCACGAAAACATTCTCCATATGTCCAGATTGGGACAACTGGTTGTAAAAAAAAAAAAAATTTTTTCTTCTAAAGTGATGCAATCTAGTGTGGGACAAGCTGTTTGAGATTTGTGGATAAGTGAGTTTTCCTTCTTTCCACTTCCGCCCTCCCGCTGCTCAGCTAGTAGGCAGAATGTTTGTCGTCAGAGATCCAGGTATGAGATATTCAAACTCTTTCCATCACTGTCTTGGAAATAAGTCCAGATTTATAAAATCTTTACAAATTTTATTTTTAAAATAGATAACATAGTCATATGGTTCAAAATTGGAAAGGTTGAGAAAAAAGGGTATACAGTGAATAGTCTACCTTCTGCCTTAGTCTGTTGTCTACTCATCAATCCAGTCCATTTTCCCAGAGGCAACTAATATTATCAGTTTCTTAAGATCTTTTCCAGAGATACCATGGACATGTAACGCAAATACGTATATGTCTTTTTTTTTTTTTTTTTAAACAAATGTAGCACACTGTTAATACTGTTTACTTTTTCTTTTTAATTTATTTTTATAATCATTTTGTATAAGCAATAAAGAGATTCAGCACCTGCCCTATACTGGTAAATATTTTATGTGTTTCCAGTCTTCCGCTACTAGAGTATGCTTCAGTGAATAATCATGTATATTTGGCCCTTTGCGTGTGTGACAATATCTGTAAGGTAAATTGTAAGTAGAGTTGTCGAAGCTGATTTTTTGGGGCCCTGTTACTCACTTCTTTGACAAGAATTTTTGAGCTTCTACTGTGTGCCAAGCACTGTGCTAGGTGCTGGAGAACAAAACTGACTCAGTCTTGCACTCACGCAGTTATGATCTAGTGGGGAAGACAGTCATTAAACAAATAATTAATTACTTTTGCTATAAATGCTATGGAGAGAGCTGATTGGAAGCCTACCCATGTTGATTGGGAAGGAGGGCAGTCAGGGAAGGTCCCTGAGGAATTGACTTTGAAGGCTGAAACCCAGAGGATGAGGGGAGGACAAAAGACTGTTCTAGGTGGAGGAAATGGCATAGGTGAAGGTCTTGAGGAGGAAAAAAACATGGCTATTTTGAAGAGTTAAAGGAAGTTCCAATGTGTCTGGAGCTTAGGGAGTGAGAAGCAGAGAGGTAGGAGGAAGGACTTCAGATAGTGTGAGCTCTCCAAAAACAACAACAATAACAACAACAAAACCCAGATAAATAGCATAGTGAATTTTGAGCTATACCTTTACAAAAGAGGTTTTTTTCTGTCAGTTCTTTCCACAGACATTAGTTTACTGACATTGAGGCTAAAACTATCAGTATCATAAAGAAATCTGATGTTTATACGGTGGAACATGTGTTTTCTAAGAATTTCCCTGGATAAAGCCTATACTTTTAGTCTTGCTTTCTTTTAGGTCCTGCAAATTAAACTTGTGTGGCTAGATTAGGTCTTAAATTTTAGGATCTTAGAAATTGGCATAGAGATTAGTGATGATTGGGGAGCAATTCTTAGATTATGGGGGTGATAGATTGCTAGTTTGCCAGACCTGCTATTTAGGAAACAAAACCTATTTACTTCTAGGGAATATTGACTGTTTTTTGTAAGCCTCATGGGGCTAGAGGAAGAGCACAGATGTTCTTATTATGAACTGGTAAATACGATATTCTCGTACCCGTCATCTAGGCCATATGTCTTAACATGACACATAACTCTTGTTGAACATGCAAATGAATCAGTAGCCCAAGGGCCATTACAAAAAAACTTGAAAGCATTTTTATCTGCAAGTATATTGATTTTTGTTTAGAAATCACAGTACTCTTCCTCAAAGCCCCCAGATGGGCATGTTTGATTTAGTACCTTTCTTGTGTAATTGGATCAGCTTGCCCTATTTTCATAACTTAAAGTAGATTCTTGGTTTAGCAGCCCATCACTAGTGATTGAAGAATGAAAATGGGCAAATTTTTCTAGCATTTCAGCAAGGAGCATCTGTGTATCTCATGGCTTAAGGGTATTAGAGTGAGAGAGAAGAGACTCCTCGACAATGAAAGTCACAGCTTTGTTTTTAGATTATCTGTGGTGAGTTGGAACTTAATATATTATCCTTGAAATTAGGCGTGACACTTTTCTCCATTTGAAGTCTGGATCAACATTTATGGAGCATATGTTTAAGTTTTCTTTCAGGCCGTTTCATACTGGAGACTGTCATCACTGGGTTTTCCTTACTTCTGACTATTCTCTGTGTATACTTTTCTGTTTTCATATTTGGGGTACGCAAATGAAGGATGATGGCACATGGAAGCTGGGGACTGATAATATGAGATATGGCTAGCCTAGAGTGAAAAGAGCCCTTTTTTTGTCATCAATGACTAAATTTCAGCTCACCTTGTAATCTCCTTTTAATCTAATCAACAGTATCTTAGAACTTCTAAGATGTTTTGACAACAGATATTGGTGGTGTTTGTTTTTCAGTTGCAATTGGAACCTGAGGGGTTTTTTTGGTTTTTTTTTTAGTTATTTTTTTTATGGTGACATTGGTTAACAAAATCCAGTAAGTTTCAGCTGTACACTTTAACAGTAAGGAGTATATATATTTACACTGTGTGTTGATCTAGTATTGATTGACCTTATTTTTTAAAATTTGGTCAATCTAAAGGTTGGTTTTGCTTATACAGTGTTAGGATTTTTTGGTTTTTCATAATTAAATGTTTGGTTTTTTTAAAAAAATCAACATAGAGTATATGGTTTAAAGAGTCAAATAATATCACAATTCTTATAATTAAAAAAATGGCTGCTTCATTTCTCCTTGTTTGTCCTCAGTTACTTTTACTACTTTCAGTGTTTTTTAACCAGATGTGTATTATCTTCATGTTTCTGCATCATATGCTTATACTGTTATTTCTTGATTTTTCCATTCTTAGATATTATCTATTGAATTTTTACTGTGCAAGATGATTCTTGCATTCTTATACTGCTACCATCCTCAACTCTTTCTGTTATCTACCTAATACAGATATATCACAATCTCGGTTAAATCAATATTTTGTATATTTTTGTGTTATATACCAGGATTCAATCAGAAAAACACACCATTCTTGATATTTCAAAGAGAATATTAGATGCTTACAAAACCATTGGAAGGCTATGGGAGCATAGGTTAGGGAAAACCATGTTACGGAGATTTAGAAAAAACTACCACCATTAATAATTTTGACCGCCTTAAACACCAAAGCAGGCAATTTGCAGAATATTGGAAACTGCTGCAAACCACATGTCTCATATTTGTAGAAAGCCACACACCTGCTTATGCTACTGGAAGAGCAATAGTGGCGTCTGCCTTTTTTCCGTCTTCCAGATCTTGAGTGAATGACTCTTATTCTCAGAGTTTAAACCACAACTCCATTGACAGGGGCTTCCGGGAATATAGTTCCCAGGCCTCCAGCCTCATCCTTCCTGCTACCCTGTGAGTCCAGAAGGGAGTAGTTACCAAAAGAAGAAAAATATTAGCATCTAATATAATGACTATACAGTTTCCCCCTAAATATAATTGCCAATCTTCTAATTACTTTCTTTTTTTCTCCTTCCTCCTTCCTTTCGTGTTCTCTCTCTCTCTCTCTCTCTCTCTCTCTCTCTCTCTCTCCCTCTCTCTCGCTCTCTCTCTCTCACTTTCTCCCTTTCCTTTCCTTTTCCCTTTCCTTCCTCCCTTCCTTTCCCCCTTCCTTCCTTCCTTCTTTCCTTCTGCTTGATTTATTGAATATCAATCACTAATTCATTCTTAAATTTGGGCAGAAGTATAAATCTCTTTTCAGTACATTCAAACATATTAGTAGAGCCTCTTCCAGAGGCTTTATGAAAAAGGGTCTATTGGAGGGAGTGTAGTTTTTGAGGCTTGCATGTCTGAATCATCTCTTTTCTACCCTCTCACCAGTTGGTGCTTTGATTAGATATAATATGTTATGTTGGAGATCATATCTCCTTGGAAATTTTAAGCCTCTATTTGTGGTCTTCTAACTTTCAGTATCGGTATTGAAAGTTACAGTGGTATTGTGAAGTTCGATGCCATACTGATTCTGGATTCTTTGTGTGAGATCTGTTTTTTTTTCTCTGAAAGATTTTAGGACCTTGTCTTTACCCCTGATATTCTGAAATACAATGATGATGTGCCTTGGTGTGACTATTTTAAAATTTATCATATTTGGCATTCTGTGGGCCTTTTCAATCTAAAGCTTATTTCCATTTATTCTGTGAAGTTTTCTTGTATTATATCTCCTTCTTTGATAATTATTTCTCTCCTCTGTCTTTCTGGGAGCCCCCTATTATCCAGACAGTGAAACTCTAGACTCATTTTCTAATTTTTTTGCCTCACAGATTTCCTTAGCTTTTTCTTCTATCTTTTGTATTGAAGTTAACTTCTAGTGTCAATTTTTAAAATTTCCAAGAGCTCTCCTTATTCTTAGATTTTTATAAATATTTTTACATGTTGTCAGGAATTCTGTTTTGTTTACTTTGATTCCTATCTTTCATGTCAGAGGTTTTCTTCAAATGTCTGATAACTCTTGGCTATCTTTTCTTTTTTAGGAGTGGGGTACTAATAAGCTCTGAGCGTGGAGCCCT